TCATGCGGAAGTGGCTTCAGTTTCTTTGTGCTGTGCTTTAACCCATTGTGCCACCAGGGAGGGCCCAGGAATGTTCTGAATTTTAAGTGAATTCCAATATTCTGTCAAGTTTCATCATGAAGTAATGAGCTAGGAATGACAAGAACACTAATCTGGTCATGGAGCCTTGTCTCTCCATCCTGGTTCAGCCTGTTTTTGGTGTGACTGTTGTTAAGTCCACAAAGGTGGCATTTAGAACAAGCATGTCACTGTGCTCGGGACTAAGACATAGTCACCCTGAAGATAACTAGCTGTGTCTTTGGATCACAAAAAATTGATTTAAATCGAAGTCAGAAGTGTTCCTATGTGAAAAATTAGATAGGAATCTACAATTTAAGACAACAGTAGTCAAGTTACTCTATGAAATGGAGTCCCTATTTCCATGTCCTGGTGCCTGGCTTCTGATAGAACATGTTCTATCTTCAGAGGCTGCGCTCTGTACTGGGTTGCCAGCTGACCTCTGTGCCTGAGTGCTCCCCATGTCTACAGCCAACTGCACCTGCTCCAGGGACTACTGCTGCAGTCCCACTAGCCTCAGACAGGGAAGGAGGGTAGTGCACATGCGTTGCCTCTAGCTCTTCAGACTCTGGCACTAATTCCCTTCTGCCACCATGATGAAATAGCTCAGCATCAGGGCAGGAGGCCCTTGCAGCGGCATTCACCATACACGTGTCTGGCACCCACATGCAGGGCACTCGCTGGACGTGGTTCAGGTAGAGTGACTGGCCACCTGGCCTTTGCTGGGGCAGGACCACTTGGTTTCTGGTTTGCTCTGTACTCCTGTTGAGAAAATTCCACTGTCTTCCCAAAGGAAGGGGGACAGGGACTAGAAAAGAAGAAGCGACAGGTCTTCAAATGAGGACTGAGGATCAGCATAGCAGTGTTCAGCCACTGAGATTCAGGTTATTTGAGGAATTTCCCCCCAAATTAATAACTTAAGTAGTGAGTCTGATGATTATCTGAAAAAAGTGTGTGTATGTGTATGTCTCACATAAAAAAAATTTTTAAGTTGTTTCCAGTTGCTATTAACTCCTTTTATTTGTTCGTAGATGTTGAGCGATGGCAAAGCAATATTCATAGCCTTTCAAATTCTAATGTTCTCTCCAGAACTTTACATCAACTTTATTATTCTTTGTTCTGTTCCAGTCATGCCTCTCAGACCCCCTCTCTCTTCCTCCTGCTCCATCTTCTGTTCAGTCCGTTTAAAGCTTACATTTGAAATTAAATTTTATTTCCCCCTTCACACTTTGAGCCCAGTGGACTATGGTAGAGGACTATGGGTAGGCCTGGCATGTGGGTGTGGTGTGATGACATACGTCTCAGAGGTGTGATCCTGTATCTGTCAGCCATGTACAGTAGTGTAAACCAATTAACCTCAATAAAAAAATATTTTCCTGGGCCTTCTCTGGTGGTACAAGGGTTAAAGCTCAGCACTGTGAAGCTATCTGCAGCCACTGCAGCATGAGTTCCATCCCCAGCAAGGGAGCTGACCCACATGGCGCAGCAGACCTCTCCTGTCTCACCTGCTGCTCCCCTCAGCAGTGTATTTTGGTAGACCCACCTGTTCTGCTCCCCACTCTGTCTCTGGTGCATCCTCTGGCCTGAACCCCAGTTCTTATATGCATGTAAATAAAGCTTTAAAAACCTATTTCCCCACAGGATGTTTTGGGCTTTACATTGTAATATTAAGACAACACATTTGTTTTTGTGTTGGGTTGCTGCCCTGGCACATTTGTCCTCAAGGAGAGTCGGGTTGGCAGGGTCCAGGACAGCTTAGGTGGGGCCCAAAAGTGTGGTGGGAGATGAGCATTGCCCTAGGGGTCTAGTGCAGAGTCAGGCTCCTGGTTCTTATGTCCAGCTTCTCTGGGAGAATGCCCTAGGATGCCTGGTTCTGTGCTGCCAGCTTATCGTCAATTAATTACTTAAATAAACTTAGAGTGGAACAATAACCTGGAAAGTACGTGGCCTGCTTATCAGTAAATTTGCTCACTCTTGAAGGATCAGCTTCCACTTGGCAATTTTGTCTACCATTGACCTCGCCAATCCTTCAGTCTGGAAACTGATTCTTAAGTTTTCTTTTGTTAAGTAAACTCTGTGCTTGCTTTGATCAGCTTCCACTTGGCAATTTTGTCTACCATTGTCCTCGCCAATCCTTCGGTCTGGAAACTGATTCTTAAGTTTTCTTTTGTTAAGTAAACTCTGTGCTTGCTTTAATAGTTATAGCTAATACTGGAGCAGAACCAGGACCTGATTCTGTATCTAATTTGGAAGGATGGGGGACCAGTCACTAGGGGTCGATGACCAGCTTTGTTCTTTTTCCTCATTTTTCCTGTTTTCTCTTTCATCATTGCTTATCTCTCTTCTTTTTCTTTCTTTCGTATTTCTTTTTTTTTATGCTGTTCTGGACATGTTCCTCAAACTGGCTGCTAAGACTCTAGAGATAGTACTGCTAACTGAAAATAAAGTCTCAACGATAGTAATTAGTTTATTAGCTAATCGAAGTGAGGACCTGGGAAGCAGTCTATGTCAGATTTCACTCTGGAGCTGTCCTAATAAACACAAGTATGAATTTATTTTATGAAGGTAGGAACAATGAATCATTAACATTAAAAATGTAATTCTTTTTTTGTGGAAACTTTGAGGCTTATCTGTGGGTACTTCACCCTCAATTTATCATCACTTATAGTAGTGATTTTCAAACTATCCTGTGGCTTTTAGCGCTACTGGAGCAGCTGCTGGTTTTAATGTGGATAACAAGACTGACTTATGACATCTGTCATCTTTTGCCTCAGGGTAAAAGGCTTCATCTTAGTCAGTATAGCCCCATTGCTCCCACCTGTTGCCTGGCCAACAAGTAAACTCAGAAGGTATCACGTAAATTTGTACTAATAGAATATCACCTTTGTGCGTATTGTATATTGAGGTTTTATAGAAGGTAAGATTTGCAGAGTAGATTTCATGATTAAAAATGTTTGAAAAGCAGCAAAACTTTTGCCCACCTGTGCTGATGCAGGTGTTCTTCTTCAACATCCTTCCCTTAGCAGCAACTCTCCTGCCTACATGTGACCTGTGACTAGCTGATGCTCTTCACCAGCCTCCACCTTTTGCAAAGCAGCAGAGGCAGCTCCCTCCCCAGGCTGTCCACCTGTGACAATGCAGGCCCCCTTTTGACAAAGCTGTCCCTTTCAGGGGCAGCTCTTTCTGCTTACCTGCTTGGGTCTATGCAAATGTCCTTTATTCTTTTCCCCATTTTCATTATAAAAGTCCGCTCTCTATTAATTGTCAACCTTGTCCCCACCCCCACGGCCTCCCCCACCTCCTATAATGCTCTCTCACCCCTGTACCCCCCCCAAAGCTGTGAGCACTTACAGATTTGGAATCATAAGTCAAAGTTAAAGAACTTATATTAGACATTTGCGTTTTCACTTTGACAGTGAGTGCAGAAAATGAGTATAAATATTTAGAATCATTGTCATAGCTACCTTGTAACCAAACAGCTATAAACATGGGAATTTTACATCTAATTTTACATTCACAACTATTTAATAGTCATTAGTAACAGCAGCTGACACTCAACATCAGGCTCACAATACCCTTTGAATATTGGGATTCATATATTACTTAAACTTGAGTAATATTGTTCTTGTTAGAAATGAGATGACCTGCTTTTTCAGCATATACAGCAACTGCCTTCACAAGAAGTGCCAAGTTTAGGAGATTTACGGTAAAGCCATGTTTCCAAGGAGGTCAGTACAAAAAGCCAGACTTCTACCGGCAGTTCCTGGAGAGATAAGCTTTCCATCCATCACAGCAGTTTGCTTTCACTTTGGGAGATGTTTATAACAGAAAAGGTTCAACTGGGATATTTTATCAGCGTTTCCCCTTCCTCTGGTGTTTGGTGGGGTTGACAACGGGCAAGGATAAAATGAACTGGTCATCTCAAGATCATGGAAAATCTGGAATTGAGGCTCAGGAATGCCCCTTGTTTTCGTTGTGAGAAGGGAAATGATTCAGTCCCTGTATGCCAGAAATGTGAAACATGTATCTTGGCTTGGAAGATCTTCTCTACTAAGGAGTGGTTTCGACGGATCAGTGAGGTCTCACAGAGGAGGTTTTTGGTTAGCATCCTGATGCAGTTAGATAGCTTTTTTTTGTTACACTATTTTCAGGATATCCTTCAGCCCACACAGGGCAAGGATTTCATCTATAGCCGTTCTCGGATCATCCTCAGCAAGAAGGAGGGGAAAGCTGTGAAGTCTTCCTTGAACCAAATGTTGGATAAAACAGTGGAAGAGAAGATGAAGGAGATTTTGTATTGGTTTGGAAAGAGCACCCCTCACACTAAAGCTCATTACACACTTTTGCTGCTGCAGATGTGCAACCCCAAACTACTGCTCACTGCTGCCAACGTCATCAGAGTCCTGTGTCTGAGAGAGCAGAACAATATTTCAGGTAAACAAGCCATAGGTAGAAACCAGAGGGCCCCTAGAGATAGGAAGCTAGACTTCAGTAGCCTGTAATGGAACAGGAAGTTGGACAAGCTTAGGCTGGCAGGCATTTTCCAGAATGTAGGATAGAGGTGTTTGTCCTGACACCTGATCTTGTTTACCAAAGGAGAAATTGTTGAATATGACTTCCTTCTAGAAAATTATCCAATGGCAAATACAGAAGGAAGTACATTTAATGTCAAGCATTTAAAATGGATTTCTACATCCCTTTGGCACAGAAATGGCTGCTCTCTGACTCTGATTGTAGTTTTTGGAGATGGGTTTGGAGCATGGGGTCCTTGGGTTCACCCTGGGGAAAAGCCCCCCTTTCAGTGGCACATGGCATGTTTTCCAGGTGAGTTTCTCCATGACATAGTTATATTTAAAGAACAGATTTATTAGGGAAAGGACAGAGGAATAAAGGACACTTTCTTAGGCACAGGCAGGCAGAAAGAGCTGCCCTGAAAGGGACAGGTTTGCTGAGCGAGGCCTGCATGGTTGCAGGCTGGTGGCCTTGAGGACAGCGGCCTCCGCTGAGGGAGGTCATTGCAGAGAAATCCCGGCAGGTACAGGTCATGGCATATACAGGTCAGGTTGCTGCCCTGCAGAGGGAGAAAGTGGTGAAAAGAAGCACCTGCATAGGCACAGGTGGGCAGGACTGCTGCCCGGGCCAGTGCAGAGACTGTATGGATTCCACAATGGACCCAATCTCTGTATCTTTACCCTCAGGTCTGTGCTCCCGACAGTCCCTATGGCAGTTTGACACCTGCTTGGGCCTTATGCCTTATGATAAGTCACTGGAGCCTAAGGATCTTGATTTCTATGGCTGGGTTAGTGGTCATGTTAGACCGCTCAACCCCCACCTCCTTGCATGATTCAGGTTTTAATCTTGTGATTCCACCTTTAGGTTTTCTATTCTTTCCTCCATCAACTCTATTACTTAATGCTGGTGTGGTTCCTCTATTGGCAGTTTAGAGAATTGGGCTTGGGACAGAAGTAAGGGAGAAGCTACTGAATAGCTTTGCCCTTCAGCTTGCATGGAACAGAACCAGGCTAAACCGTCAAAAATTAGGGCCTTTTAAAAATTCATTCCACCGTGTATTCCTTTTTTGCACATATAATCTAACCTTGAAGTCGAGTTTATCCAAAGCTGGAGATAGCAAGTGGGCCCAAAAACGTCTAGGGCAGTAGTTTTCAAACTTTAGCTTGTCTTAGAATCCCGGGAGAGCTTATTAAAACATAGCTGACCTGGCTCCTCCCACAGAACTTGTGACTCATCAGGTTTGATGTGGGCAGGATTCTGCATTTTTAACAAGTTCCCAACTGATGCTGATGTTGCTTGTCTAGAGACACCACCTTGAGAACCACTGGTCTCTGTTTAGTACTAGTGAGTGGATCTTGAAAATCTTTGTTCAGCTGGATCAGGAAGCAAAACAAAGCATAGAGGAGGCAAGATTGGATTACAGAGGAGTCTAGGAGTAGATGGTGCAAGAAGCACAGGTTTAGTGGGGTGGGGTGGAGGGTGGGACCAAGGTCAGGAGGGGGTTGTCAGAGGAGGAGTTTTAGGAGTTCTTAAAAGTGGGAGAATTCCCAACATCCATCCCCCTTGATTTGTGGTCACATACTAATGGAATTCAAAGGAATTTTACAATTAGACCATAAAGGCACTAATTATATAGTAATATATGCCACATTAGGTTCATTCGTGTGTCAGGCGAGTAAAAGAATGATAACCTGGAGTTAAAAAGTGGTAAAAAAGAAATCAGAGTATTGTATACATTAGTTTAGATACTACCAGTCCAACTCCTTAACTCTATAGACAAGGAAGCCCAAATTTAGGGAATCTGGGTGACTTGGAATAGGTCACTCAGCAAGGAAGTTCAAAACCAGGTTTTCCCCTCCAGTCCTTCTCCCTCCTGAAAAAGGGATGGACGAGGGAGGACAGAACAGAGTAGACCTTTTTTTTTTTTTTTAAGATTTATTTATTTATGCATACAGCACTGGGGTAGAGTGGGTGAGAGGACTCACCAGAGACAGAGTGGGGAGCAGAACAGGTGGATCTACTGAAATATACTGCTGAGGGGAGCAGCTCCCTGGGTGGAGGTTGGACTCGCGGGTTGGACCCGCGTTGAAGAGGCCGAGTATAGCTTCCTGGTACTGCTGTGCTACTAGTGCTGCGGGCCTGAAATGTATCCATTTCAATAAAATGGAGGGAATCCGAGAGAATTATTTGAAGCAAAGTGTGTTAGAATGATACCAAGACAGGACATTTACATAGCAATTTGGTAATGTAAAACACTTGAAAAACTTGGGGATACCTGTAAGCATTCTGAAGGCTTTTGGTTAAGAGGGAGGCAGGAGGGACAGGGGCAAGCAGATAGAAGATAGAAGGGGGTGTTTATGGGGGGGAAATGCAACAGAAGACTTGCTGTGATTTTTGCATAGATAATCAGAGTCCCAAAGAATAACAGACATAACTGATCTGGCCCATTTTGCGTAGATTTACAAGAAGCAAGTAGAAATAAAAATAATCTCTCCATCTTTTTTTCCCCCCCTCTACACAGCTGCCTAAAAACACCTTCTCTTGGTCTTTCTTTTCCTCAGGGGATGAGCAAGTCCTCAATGATACGCTTTTCTTCCCAGAGCGCTATCCCAACCCCAAATCGGAAACCTCGTGTAACTACTTAGCCAAGCAAACATCCTTCCCTTTGGCCTCTGCTTCAGCAAAAGAAAACTTGTTTAAAAATATTGGGGGAGAGCAACCTGATACTGGTAAGTCAACCAGAAAGTCAATCTATGGATACCAGCAAGTGCCAGAGGTGTGGAGATGGCAGGACCCTCGTACCATTTGCTTGGCAGTTACAGTGTGTCAGGCTCTGTGGGGTTTATTCCTTCATCTAACCTCACATCTGGTATTGGGGAAAACAAGGGTTAAAATCAATCAGTATCACTCCACATCCAGGTTTCACCTCTTCCTGGTGCCTCCAAGAGATGTCTGAAAATAGAAACCAGTTTCTTTTGAACTGTCCTCTGTTCCTAGCTGCCAGCCACCATCTTCATCTAGCCCCAGAGTGCCGGCACCTCTGTGATTCAACCCGGCAGAGGCTCATTATGTTACGTTCGGATTCTGTCCTCCAGAGGAAACAAAATCATTGGGGAACTTGGGCCTGACTCTAAGGTCTTTCTAAGTTGGTTTTTGAAACAAGACATAGATGAGACACAAGCATAAAATCCAAATATTTTTACATGGAAAAGTTTAAATTTCCAAAGTGGTAGACTAGTACAATAACTACTCACATAACCATTACTCATCTCTAATAATTATTGACAGTATCCATCTGTTTCATTTGATTCCCCTTTAAGAATTGTTTAAAATTTTTCTTGACAGGGTAATTTCCAGGGAATTCCAGACACAATGCCATTTCACCAGAGCGGCCAGTCAGGCTCTGATAACACATATATAGATATTGTGTGTTTGATTGGAAAGATTCTATATTTGTTTTGGTCCAAGGGTAGACATTGATAAACTTTATTTTGTGGGAATGTTTTCGGCAAGGGGTTGCTATGGGCCTGGAGACAACCCTACAATGTACCTTTCTCTGGCTTCCCTCTAGATGAACTATGGAAGAATTCACTTCAGTGCATCTCCAAGATGAATAGGCCATCTGCATATAATCGTAAGGCAGGGTATGCGCACTCAAAGCTGTTGGTTGACCTGGATGCTGTCAGAGTCCTTTCTTCTGGGGTCAGCAAATACCGGGACTTCATCCGCTACCTGCCCATCCACCTCTCCAAGTATATTCTAAGTATGCAGGGGTTTATTGGGGGCGGGGGGTATGAGACCTCCCATCACAGCCAAGTTCTGACGTCCCCAGGTCTGTCCTTTTTTCTTTTTCTTTTTTCAGGTATGCTGGATAGAAGCAGCCTCAACAGGTGTGCCTTTGTGAGCCAGCACTGGGCTGCACTGGCACAGCAGGTCAAGATGGATTTGCCGATGCATACCTTCATTCAGAATCAGATTACCTTCTTGCAGGTACTTCCTGTGTGGTGTCCTGTCTGGAGACCAGCCTCATTTATCTGTTCAGGCTGACCTGACTCTAGGCTTGCAGTCTAGTCAGTAGACCCATAGCTGGCCTCTTGCTTCTCCTTTGCTGCTCCATAGTATTCACAGTCAATTCCTTTTTGTCTTGACTTCCTGTGCTAATCAGCATTTACTCCCCCATCATCAGTGCATCTAACAAGAACAAGTTGTATGTAAACTTTTCGGGAAGAGAACCTCACAAAGTGGTGTTTTTCTTTTTCTTTTTTCTCTTATATATGTGTGTGTGTGTGTATAAAACGTGTGTGTGTGTATATATATATATATATATGTATGTATATATATACATTTTTTTTTACATCATTCTTCATTTCGTTGTAATCTCCCTGGATTTCCCACCACCATTTCACCCATGCACCATCACCACAGTCCTGTGTGCTCTTCCCACCCCTATTTTGATCCTGTTCCTCTCTCCTCCCCCATAGAATGTCTCTGGCTTATAGTTGTTAAGTTGATGTTTGTTTTTACTTTATTGTAATTACTATACATATATATTTTCCCCCCGATTCTTTACACGTCTACTATCTGGTGTTTTTCTTTTTCTTTCTGGCTTATTTCACTAAGCATGATCTTGTCCAGCTCCATCAGGTTGCTGCCAATGGCATGAGCTTATATTTTTTGATTGCTGTTTATATTCCATTGTGTATAGGTACCACATCTTCTTGATCCAGTCATCTATTTTTGGGCATTTGGATGGATTCCACATCTTCTCTATTGTAAATAAAGCAGCAATAAACATAGGGGTGCAGGTGTCCTTTTGAAGGTTTTTATTTTTTAAAGAGAGTTATAATTTATACAATTAAAAAACTGTGCATCTGTTTCAGAATCAACTTCATAAAGTGTAGAGATATTTATACAGCCACATGCCATGCTTTTAGGTTAAAATGCAGTTTTCCCCATAGTTACCATCTCTGGCATTCTTAGTTCTGATTCTTTCTTGGAGAATCTAGTCCGAAATCATGATATCCTAAGAGTTTGGATTTTTCTTAGCGGAGAGAGATGACAGAAAATGAGAAGCAAGTATTGTAAGGCAGGTCACTCTCTGGAAAGGTGGAGACTGCTGGTTATCCCTAGCTAGTCTCTAAATGCACGGCAATTACTATTCTCCTACATACACGAATGGCCTAACTGGCCTTTCTTAGCCAGAGTTTACCCATTTTTCCTACTTTTCCCCTCCTCTTGCAGAGTAGCAACTAACATTAGCATTTTCTGATTTTGTTTTTCTCCCCAGGGGTCCTACACAAAGGGAATAGATCCTAATTATGCCAACAAACTTTCCATCCCAGTTCCTAAAGTGGTAGATGATGGGAAGCGCACACGTGCAAAAAATCAGAAATGGAAACTGAGGATGAAGGTGGGTTCCCAAGACATGTGGAGCTAGTAGCTGTGAATGCCACCTTTTAACTGAAGTCCAGACTCAGCCCTCACCAGAGAAGTAAAAAGTGGGAGTACAGGGGACAGAGCATGTATAGGATAGGGAGGCCAGAACTCTGTGCTTCCTATTCTTGAGCAAGATACTCCCTCTCCTTATGCCTAATTTCCTCATATGTTGGATGCATGAGTTGTTTTGGTGGTCCTTGCAGAGTTCAGTTTTCCAAATCCTCCAGCGAGGTCCTCTGTCCATGGCACCAAGTCAATGAATGGGGAGCTGGGAACCAGTAGCACTATGAGGGAGAGCTGGGATGCCCATCAACAACTACCAGTCCATGTACCTAGAGGCTGGCAGCATCTACTGCTAGGAATAAGAAGGACCCAAGGGGCACGGGGCGGAAGGGCCATACCATACCAGACTGTCCAGGGGCTAGATGAGCGAAGTTTTGTTATCTCTCAATTCCAGTTCATTCTGGTAGCATGATGGAAAGGAGAATTATTCAGTCATAACTCTTCCCACCAAATCTTGGGCCACAGTGAAGACATGTAGGTGGGGGATTCTCTGAGGCCTCTGTTCTGCATGCCCAGGCATGGTGGTTATTCCTCAAGCCATTCAATCCCAGCCCCCTTCTCTGTTTTGAAATCCATGTCACTGGCTCCCAAAAGGATGCCTAATGGTAGGGGGGTCTGACTGTAGCTTCTCTTAGAGAAACTATGGGTATAAATTAGAATTTGAGAAATAGAAGTACCTAGAGAGACCATCTAGTTCATGTGCCCAGAGAGGTCATAGAGGTCACATGAAGGAGGGAGAAGGCTGGTGTGAGCAGTTAGAATGATGGGACTCTTCTTTTTCTTACATGCAGGTAAACAGTTAAGGCATTTATAGGAAAATGTGGATCAAAGAAAAAACACATTTGTGGGCTTTATTTGATTTGCTGTTTAAAAAAAGATTTATTTTCATTTATTTCTGCATACATACAAGAACTATGGTCTAGGCTAATCTAAGTGGGGGTTGGGGGTTGTGGGGTGAGAGGGTTCACTAGAGACAGAGTAGGGGACCAAAACAGGAGGATCTACTGACATACACTGCTGAGGCGAGCAGGGGTGAGACAGGAGAGGCTTGCTGTGCCATGTGGATCACCTCCCTGGCTGGGAATTGATTGAACTCATACCACCATGGCTGGCGTTAACTTGATAGCATTGAGAATTTAGCCCCTGTGCCACCAGGGAGACCTGACCTGCTATTTTTATCCCCAAGTTGGTCTATTCACTCATTTTATAGATGAAGAAACTGAGGCTCAGAGAGGTCTCTCAGTCAGTGCCATGAGAGAGATGCAAGTTGAATGTGGCCTTGTTTTCTCCAAGTGTTCTGCTAAGTATAACAAATACCTTGTTCCTTGGTGGTGGAGCTAGTAATCACCTGACAAACATGGATTATCTAGTCATGCCTGATGTTTTAGAAATGTATATAGTGTAGGAGAGAGAAATAAATTGAGTTTATAGACTTGGAAAAGAACCTGTGAAGCAGCAAGAATAAACAATTAAGGAATCCGCTGGGCAGAGGGGAGCACTTTCAGGGGTGATGGCCAGAATGCTAAGCTAAAGCAGTCTGCCAGACAATGCTTGTTCTGCTGGTATGTGAAATATAAATGTGAAAACTGTGACTTCAGGAAAATGGCCAAAGCGCATCTGTGACTTTTTTGTGACCCTTACCCAGTGTGAACATACTTTCAGAAAAATTGTGCTTTCAGCAACATGGAAAGTTTATGGGATTAGAACACATAAAAAATACAAACAAAGAGGTGGAGGAATTAGGTCCTTGACAGCCTTTTCTCATCCATGGGTTACATTAGTGCCTGCTACGGGCCTCTCACCATCACCATGTAGCAGCAGCCCTTGCCTGGAATGACACTAGGGGACACATGACAGGGACCCCAGTAAAGCTGCCACTGTCTGACTTCCAAGTGTTCTTGTTAGACTGACTACAACCTGTGGACGGCGTATCAGGGCCAGGAAACCCAGCAGGTCCAGATGGAGGAGAGAAATGTCTTCTGTGGGACTTACAACGTTCGCATTCTCTCTGACAAGTAAGTCTGGGATCAGGTCTTCCGGGTCTTTCAGAACCTTGAATTGCTTACACCAGCATTGTAGGATTCCCTTGATCCTCCCTGGAAGGGCAGTCCTTCCCCATGGCAAACTCCAGCCCCAAAATAATATAGATCCCATTTTGGAGAATAGGTGGTTGATTTTTACATCATTTTCAGTGGTGAGTAAAGGGCATATTCTCCTGATACATTTTGAGTTTGCTGCCCAAGAACTTGACTCTGATGTATGCAATGCACATGCATACATTTGTTCTTTTTTTTTGAAATATCTGTATTTCCCCCCTAACTTTAGAAGTAATGTATGTTTATTGGAAAAAATATTCCCAAATGCCATTGAGAAAAGCAAAGATCTCCTATACTATAATCATCATTTAGAGAAACCCACCATTGAACTACATTTTTAACTATATTAAACTATATTAGGCTACATGTTAAATAGAATGAGGTTATGCTATACATATTTCTGTAAACTGCTCAGCAAAGTACTCTGAGTAGCTTTCCATGTTAGATATGAAAATGGTACTTATGATATTTATATATGATATACTATAGGGAGAAGGCCCATCAATCAACTAGAGTCATACTTTATTATTATTATTTTATTATATTAGTTTATTTTTACATATTTTTGTGCATTTTTCCATCTCAGCATACTTTATTTTTTTAAAAATGATTTTATTTATTTATGCATACAGAACTGGGGTACAGGCCAGAGGTGCAGGGGCAGCGAGAGGATTCGCCAGAAACAGAATGGGGAGCAGAACAGGCAGATCAACAAAGTACACAGCTGAGGGGAGCAGTGGGCAAGACAAGAGAGGTCTGCTGCGCCATGTGGGTCACTTCCGAGGCGGGGATTGAACTCGCACTGAAGTGGCCATGGCTTGGCTTAGCTTCTCAGTGCAGTGCTCCAACCTGCTGCGCCACCAGGAAGGGTCTCAGTCATACTTTAGGCGCAGGACTCTGTTCTTTATATACAGTTTTGTATAGTTCATCTTCATTTTTTGGCTGTGAATCTTACCAACAAATTACTGACTGAGAATATACCAGTCAATAGGGGGAAGACAGAACAGAAAGGGGAAAAGCACAGCTGATTTTTTTTTTAAAGATTTATTTATTTATTCATACAGAACTGGGGTACAGGCCAGAGATGCAGAGGGTGAGAGGATTCACCAGAGACAGAGTGGGGTGCAGAACAGGAAGATCGATGAAGTACACTGCTGAGGGGAGCAGCGGGCGGGTCAGGAGAGGTCTGCCACGGCATGTGGTCACCTCCGGGGCAGGCAGGGATCGAACTCATGCGGAAGTGGTTTAAGCTTCTTTGTGCTGTGCTTTAACCAGCTTCGCCACCAGGGAGGGCCAGCACAGTTGATTTTTTATGGATAGTGGAGTGACAAGTCCTCTTCAGAAGAGATGATGACACTGGATGTGACAGGTAGAATGAAAAAGCTATCAAGAGGCCATATATTCTTGTTTATTGAAAAAAATCCACTTTCTCTGTGGAGTAATGATTGCTAGAGTGATTAGCAATAGTGTACACCCTTCACAATAAAAATTATCTCAGTTTGAACAATAAATGATTTGGCCACATTGCTCTTATTTTATCTATTTTCAAAAAAACCCTGAAGTTGGAAAATTAGTTCTACTTGCCCTATTTTATTGGACAAAGCTCACTGAAGGCAAGATTCTCCTTATTCATCTTTATATTTCTTGTGATTCCAGCTAGCACAGGACTTTGAAACTACTAAATACTCATCAGCTATTTATTAAGAAAAATAAAACCCAGTGGTATATACAGTGGATACAGGGGTTTTCCATGAAAAAAAGGCATTATGGTCAAATAAGCTTAGTAAATATCACACACTGTATTCTCTTACTTGGAGAATTTTCCCACATTAGCAGATTAAAAACTAGTTTGCAGGTTGTCTTTAGATTTTAAATCTTCCTGAGATGGATTTTTGTTATGTCATGAGGTAGGGCTCCATTAGCCCATTACTACTAGGTCTTGCCTTCTGAAAAGTTGTTGGAAGGCTCTGAATTTCCCGTTTTCCCATTGCTATAGGTGAAAGCCATGTTACTAAGTGAGTCCCAGGAAAGACACTAATTCTTCTTTCACTGGTCATCTCCTCTCATCCCTACAATTCAGGTGGGCTCAAAACAGAGTCATCCATTATTGTGGGGGAGATCTGATAGCTGTTTCATGCAATCGGAGGATCAAGCTTCTGGACATTACTCAAATCAAGGAGTTACCCACTGAGTTCCGTGGCCATGCAGGGACTGTCCATGCCCTCTTCTTGTGTGAGGAGGAAAAGTTTCTCCTGAGTGGGAGCTATGACCTAAGTATCAGGTAAGTGGTTCAAGTTAGTCATGGTCCTCATCCAGAGCTAAAAGTCAGCTAGCAAAACAAACTGAAAAGTTACCTAAATGACACAGACATTCAGTTAACATACACTTCAGCTTCTGGAAGACCTACCTTTTAGCTAGGCAAAAAACAAGAATTTGTGTATTGTTAAAATGTTAATGAGAAACATTTATAACAATCATCAGATATATCCCTTAGTTGCAGATTTTGAGTCAGAAAGGATCTTTTTTAGCGGTCTTAGAGGAAAGCACGCTTTTTCTCATTTCTCTACCAACACTCTGACCCATCCAACTTTCATATTTCTGCCAAATGAATCTGTGGAAAATTATCTCCATTAATACTACTCTGGTCATTGGTATGTGTGCTTATTAACTTCTGAAGCTTCCTGTTCTGTAAATTGCCTGATTATGCTCTTTGCCTATTTTTCCTATTGGGGCCACTATAATTGTATTTATTTGCCGTTCCAAATACCACCTTCCTTATATGTCTTTTTTAAATAAAAGGTGTCATTTCCCCCTATAGCAACTATAAAACTACTCTGTGATATACCCCAGTGACTTATGGTGCCATCTTCATTGATATGGTGATTTTCCATATATACATAAGAAGTGTCTGGGAGGTCTCTATTCTAAAATAGTAGTTTGTTTTTCTGTTTTTGCACCAAAACCACACTATTTTTTTAAAAGGCCTATAAAAGAGCAATTTTAGGTTTACAGCAAAACTGAGAAGAAAGATTTCACATATACTCCCTGCCCTACTCATATACAGCTTCACCCATTAGCAATATCTTCCACCACAGTGGTAGCTGTGTTCTAACAACTGAATCTATAGTAACATAATTACCCATACTCCATATTTTACTCTTGGTGTTGTATATTCTGAGGGTTTGGACTAATGTATCCATAGTCACAGTATACAGAGTATTTTCACTACCCTAAACATTTTGTGTGTCCTTGCTATTTATTCATTTTCCCCTCCCTCCTCCAATTCCTAGCAACTGCTGATCTTTTTTTTTCCCCTGTCTCCATGATTTTGCTTTTATTTTTAAAGATTTATTTATTTATTCATACAGAACTGGGGTACAGGCCAGAGGCTCAGGGGCGGTGAGAGGCTTCACCAGAGACAGAGTGGGGAGCAGAACAGGCAGATCGACGAAGTACACTGCTGAGGGGAGCAGCGGGCGGGTCAGGAGAGGTCTGCCACGCCATGTGGTCACCTCCGGGGCAGGCAGGAATCGAACTCATGCGGAAGTGGCTTCAGATTCTCAGTGCTGTGCTTTAACCCGCTGCGCCACCAGGGAGGGCCTGATTTTGCTTTTTTTCCAGAATGTTGGATAGTCAAATCATGCAGGATCTATCTTTTTCAGATTGGCTCTTACATATCGTATATACATTTATGATTCTTTCATTCCTTTGCATGGTTTGACAGCTTGCTTTTTTTTTTTAGTGCTGAATAATATTACATTGTCTGGATGTACCATAGTTTATTTATCTACTCATTTACTGAAGGACATCTGGTTGTAACAATTATGTTTTGACAAAACAAAACAAAACAAAACAAAACAAAACAAAACAAAAAAACAAAAGCTTTGACAATTATGAACAAAGCTGCAATAAACATCCACATGCAGGTTTTTCTACTCCTTTGGGTAAATATCAAGAAGTATGATCATATGCTAAATCATATGGAAAGAATATATTTAGTTTTGTAAGATGCCACCAAACTGTAATGAATGTGTTCTGATTGCCCTGCTTCCTCACCAGCATTTAATGTTGACAATGTTGCAAATTTTGGCCATTCTAATAGATATGTAGTGGTATCTCCTGTGGTTCTAGTTTGCATTTACTTGATGGCCTCCAGTGTGGCCTCCAATGTGGAACATCTTTTCATATGCTTATCTTTGCGAATGGTATTTGATTTGTATTTTCAAATTGTTGCTGGTATGGATAAATGCTAATCGTTTTTTAGTTTGATCTCATATCCAGAAACCTTGCTAACCTCTCTTAGTTCTAAAAGTATGTATGCACTGCTTTGCCCCTTCCAATCTTGCCATGCCTTCCAGTTAAAGAGAAAAGGAATCTTTATCTTATTCTTCTTGAAGGGAATAGACCTACAACAGTGTTTGCTATTGAGACTTTGGTTTATAAGTTTTACTGTGTCAAGGAAGTTCCTTTTATTCCTATTTTTCTAATTTTAAAAAACATTTATTTATTTATGCATACAAGAACTGAGGTACAGGCCAGAGGTGTGTGTGTGTGGGGGGGGGTGAGAATTCACCAGAGACAGAGTGGGGAGCAGAACAGGCAGACTGATTGAAATACACTGCTGAGGGGGGCAGCAGGTGAGACAGGAGAGGTCTGCAGCGCCATGTGCTTCACCTCCCTGGCTAGGGATGGGCTTGTGCTGCCGTGGCTGTGGAGAGCTTCATAGTGCTGTACTTTAACCCCTTGTGCCACCAGGGAGGGTCCTTTTTCTAAAAATTTTTATCAAGTGAATTTATGTATAAATAAAAAAAAAATCAAACAATGCAACAATAATCTGGACACATGGTTGACCAAATGGCTAGAAACAGGAATCCAAAATATGCTTTCTTTCAGGCATAGTTAAAAACATGTGAGCACAGAGTAGGCTGCATGCCAAGTTTCATAATTATTCTATGATGTAAGTACCACCCTCATTCCCATTGTGATTGAGGAAGCTGAGGTGCGCAGTGGTTCAGTAACTTGTTCAAGATCACACAGGTAGTAAGTGATGGATCTTGGACTGCACCTCAGGCAACCTGGCTCCCAATCCACTATCTTACATTGCACTCTAAGCTGTCATGAAAGCCATCTGGCTGAACTGCCATTGAACTATCAGTGATAGTTAAGAGACTGCAGGTAAGTTTGCTTATTACAAAAGTATGATTCTTTCATATTCCCACATCTCTGATGTGCTTTAGCAATATGCCCCAGATAATTTCGATCCACATAACTATGGCAAGTTTTGTTCTTAATCATAGGGTAGACCTTCCATTGAATAAGTGCCAAGGATACTAAGCCTAGGAACGGTCATTCCAGGGATCCTTCTACCTAATGCCAACTGAACATCTATCAAGCATTCTGTACTTTTTCTAATGTTACAGGCATTAATGCAGAGTTTCTCAACCTTGCATTGCTGACATCTGGGACTGGAAAATTCTCCATGTGGAGGCTGGGATGTTTAGAAGCAACCTTGAGCTCTGCCCACTAGATATCAGAAGTACCTCTCTCCCCACTTGTGACAATCAAAATGTCTCCAGACCTTGTCAATATAGATTTAAGAAATTAAGTAGGTTTCCTAAAACTACCCCTAAAAGTGCTGCAACTGGGATTCAAATCCAGGTCTTTGACACTGAGCTTAACCCTGAAACTGCTGCCTTCCAACTACCTATTGCTCCAAAGGCATTATACACAGCATGACCCCTGGGCCCTCAGAAAATCACAAAACATTTTTTTTTGGCTGATTCCTGCAGATACTGGGATCTGAAAACTGGGGCATGTGTGCGAATCTTCACTGGCCACCAGGGGACGATCACTTGCATGGATTTATATAAGAAGATCTTTGTATCAGGAGCAAAAGATTGCCAGATAAAAGGTGAGAAGCAAATGTCTAAAATGTTCTAAGACATTTCCCTAAATCCATGGGTTGCCAAAAAACTTGCTTTGCTTGTTTTGACAGGCAGTCATTTATGCTTTTACTTATTTGCATCCAGCCATCCATGGATCCTTTCAACAACTGTTGAATACTGAACTGTACTTATGCCGAGAGGGAAAAGTTACACAGCCCTTAAGACATGAGTTTTTCATTTCCTCAAGGTGTTTATAGTCTTCTAAGGGGGACAAATACATACACACATGCATGTAGGTATGTATGTACACACATATGTATATAGGTATATGCACATACATGTACATAGGTATACACATATATGTATATAGAGGTATAAGCACACATGCACATATATGTATATACAGAAACATATATATACATACATTTATGTGCACACACATCTGTATATAATGTATATAGCTTATATAATCTGTATATAAGTATATAACGGGGGCTATTATAAATAGGGGTATGATAATAGTTGTCATGAATTGAGTCCTGGCTTTGTGACAGGCATTGTGATAGGAGCTACACACATACACACTGTCTTATTTAACTCACAACAACCCTGTGGAGTGAACAGAGATGAGGACTCTGGAGACTCAGAGAGAAAAACAATTTGCTTCACATCAAAGCTGCTAAGTAGTAGAGCAGAAAATTGAACTCAAGGCTGTCTGGTTCTAAATAATATGCTCTTAACCAACATGCTGAGTTCTGAGGGGCTACAGAAATATGGCACAGCATTGTGACAGGGTGCTATTTGTGGCAAGAGGGCTTAGGCTGAGGACAGAGCATGTAGGTAGTCCATCAGGTAACAAGACAGGCACACTTATAGAAGGTTGAAGAAAATGATGCATTCAGGAATTTTCATTGTTTGGTGTGACTCGATTGTAATGTGTGATGTTGGGGGTTAGGCTGGTAGGTTTATTTGGGGCCAGATTATCAGGGGTTTTCTGCATAATGGCAGGAAATTGAATTTTATCCTAAAAGACACAGAAAGCTATAAATATATTTTAAGTTGAGGATTGATGGGATCTAAAGTATATTTTACAAAGATTAGTGGTAGTGTGGAAGAAGGATTTGAAGAGGGTAATTGTGTGGAGGACAGGTTAAGACACCGCTGAGTCTAGGTATTGCTGGGGTTCCTTTAGAATATTTGAGGACAGATGTGAAGAAATTCAGATGGATGTGATTTTACATGAAATAGCAGACAGAAGGGAGATTTCCAGAGGAAGAACCAGCAGAAACCACTACAACTCGATATAAAAAGGCAGAAAGGTATAAAGATATAACACGTGACTTGGTAATTCAGACCACTGGGCATATGAGTGCCATTCATGGAAACAGGAAGAAGAGAGGTGAGGAACAGAGGAGAAGATGCCTTAATTTTAGACATTTTGAGTGTGGTAGGCTGAGTAAGATTCAACCAAAGATGTCCTAGTCCTTGTGGCTATGTCATTTTGTAAGGCAAAAGAGACTCTGCCTGTGTAATTGAGTTAAGGACCTAAAAATGAGGAAATTATCCTGGATTATTGTTTGGGATGCTGGGTAATTACAAGGATTCTTAAAAACGGAAGCTTTCCTACTTTTGATCTAAGGGAGATGGGGTGGAGAAGAAGCAATGATCTGAGCAATGGAACATTACTGACTGAGGAGGAAGGAGGAGGTCATGAGCCAAGGAACATGGGTGGTGACCTGTAGCATGTGAAAAAGGAAGGAAATAGTGTCCCTCCAGACTCCATAAAGGAAAACAGCCAACTAACTCCTTGATTTTAGCTTTGTGATCAGATTTTTGTAAGATAATATATTTGTGTTGCTTCGACCCTAAGTTTATAGTAATTTGTTATTTCTACACCAAGAGAAAAGCTATTACATATTACACTGGGGAGGCTGATGCAAGGGTCGCTATACTGGCTTGGGCTCCCAGTAGTTGATTTGGTGGTTCTCAGTGCTAAGAAAAGGTAACTTAAGCTCAGATAACATTTCCCCTGAAAAGCAGGAGGAACAAATGAAAACAGAAGAGAATAAGGAAACGGGGAAACCACAGCCTGTTCAAGTAGCTAGAGGAAAAAGATGTGGGAAGGGGTCATGGTGTTACATACACACACTCAGACCCTCTTAAGAAAACTTCCCACCTCTTCTCCCTCCTTAACCTGACTGAATACTTCATTGCCCTGTTTCCATTGGGGAGCAGAGCAGAAAGGATGAAAGGATGAAGTTTGCAGCTGGAATGGCAGAAAAGGCCTCCCATCCTTGAGAAAGTCTTGTGGGGTAGGGGCTAGCATGTGGGGAGCAGAACCTTCCTCTCCGGTGAGCCTCCAAACAAACATAGTAATCAACATACTTATTTTAATGAAATCCTTAAAAATCAAAATATATCTACAATGAAAAAAAAATCCTTGCTTTCCCTACCCCTGGTCATGTTATCAACCCAGCTGCTTCTCTTGGGCTCTCTCCACCTTCCTGGGTCCCCAAAATTGAATGGAAAAGAGCTCTAGAGGCCTAAAAGCTAACCCCTGGCTTTAGACCAGTGCATCTTACTTGCCAGTATATCTTTTGATTCACCTTTCAGTTTTCCCTCTTCTAATTTTGTCCAAGAGCTTATATCCCTATGGTAAAAATATGTTTGGAAGGGAAGTGTAGTTACACAGCTAGGGAGAACCTACCATAAATGGTCAAGGGCACGGCCTCAGCCCCAGACTCCCCAGGTCAAGCCCAGTGCAGTCTGCTTACTACCTGTCTGGTAGTAACTGGAACTCTGGAGCCAGTTACTGAAACTTTTTACTCTTCAGTTTCTTCACTTGGGACAGGAGATGTCTGCTGTGCTATGAGTCAGCTCCCTGGATGGGGATCAAACTCATGCTGCAGTGGCTGGGGTTTGCTTCATGATGCTGTGCCACCAGGGAGGATCCTCAGTTAGTCTTAGCATCCCTGAGGGGATGTGGAATTCACTGCCATCCTTCATCCTTCACTTCCTCCCTCCCTAGCTCTCTCTCCTTCTCCCTTTCAGAGTGGGATCTAAACACAGGGAAGTGCCTGAAAACATTTAAACACAAAGATCCCATCTTGGCCATCAAGATCAGTGACACCTACATTGTGAGCAGCTGTGAGCGAGGGGTCATCAAAGTATGGCACATTGTCAACACACAGCTGGTCAAGGTGAGAGGGCAGTGGGCTGTGGGGCCTGGTGGTGACTGGAGGAGATGACAGACTCCTCTGTGTGACTCTCAGGACCATCCTAGAACAGCCCAAATGAGTTACTGAAAGGGTGATCCTTAAAAGCTGAGGGGCCGGTCCCCACAGAAGGAGATCCTTCTGATACAGTGAAGGGTCAGGGGCATGGGACCCATTATCCTGGGGATGGAAGAAAGGCTGCATTCTGGCTCAGCATACTGTGTGCACTGGGATCTTTGGATAATAACAGAGGTCATGTACCTTTTCCTCTTCCAGAATACTCTGAATCTGAATCTGGTGTGGGGTAAGGGAAAGAACAAAGTCACACTTATTTTCCTACTTATTCTGTGATGAGAACACTGACTGTCCTGAAAGTGGTTGTTTACATACAAAAGATGTCCTTGCTAGACTGAAACTCTCTGGCTCTAGTGGGTACTGGTGAGATGGCATCTGTGCGAGTAGTGCAAGATCGCAGTGAGAAGCGGCTGACCTGGCTGCTGGACTTTTACCCCCACCAATCTTGTCACCATGGTCTAATCAGCAGTTCCAGGCATAGGGCTATGCCAGGTGCCCTCCAGGTCCTGGCAAGGGATTGAGGCTGGAACCTTTTAGCCTTTGCCTTCTGACAACAGAAGGTGGGGAATTCTGGCCCTCTTTGGTGCTCCAGGAATATGGGGCCTGCCATAACCACAGCCCTGACCACATTCCTCCTTAGCTAAGGAAAGAGTTCTGGAAAGAGAGAGAAGTGGGGGAGGGCAGCATGGAATTCACTGGTCTCCTTACAGCAAAAACCGAGCCAGCTCAGGTTGAGACCTAGGGAAAGGTAGCAAGGACTGGTGAGATGTAGCTTTGGGAGATAGCAAAGAAGCTTCCAGGGTTGACCCTCCGAGGAGTCACAATCTGAATTGAAGATGGGCTGAAAACAGCAGCATCTTTTCTTGCAGTCTCTCACTGGACACGAGGGAGCGGTGAAGTGTCTACACTTTGACCAGTGGCACCTCCTCTCCGGAGGCACTGATGGCCTGGTCATAGGCTGGAGCATGGTGGGAAAGTACGAGCGGTGCCTCATGGCCTTCAAGCATCCAAAGTAGGTTCCAGGAAGGCCCGGGCTGGTTAGCATAATGCCCTCTCCTTTCCCTGATACAGCTTTAGGTTTCAATTTTTAAAACCTCTGTTTCTTCTGCTTCCTCTCTGCTGACTTTTTGTCTTTCCATTCCTCAGCCTTTTACCTGTCACCCATTCCCATGACCACCCTTTTAGTTGGGTCATTTTCTCTCCTGCTCTCGTTTTTCTCAAGAAATAGCCAATACTAGATGTGGGTTTTGAGAAGATTTTGAAAATTTAAACTTAAGACACACATGATCCAAACTTAGAAATATCCATTGAGCTGTCCCAAATGAGGCTGACTCCAGGAAATGTAAAATTCTTGAAATTGGTCTTTACTCCCAGATGTATGTGGTCACAAAAGCTTAAAATTATCCAGATGTGAAAGGTTTAAAAATAACTAAGGATTCAAAGAGGGAACTTACTTACAAATTCTGGGCTAGATTCTATTCTAGGATTGCAAATGCATTTCATTTTACAATTGCACTTTAATTTAGTGGCAGTGGTTTCTAGGAACCAACTGAGAAGTAGTCTGAAGCTACAACTGGGCTTATTTGGAAAAGGCATCGTGGATAATTACTGGTTCTTCCACTGCCATGGGTTTTATAGGCTGCTCTAGGCTACTTCTGTAATATATATATATATATATATATATATATATATACATATATATATATACATATATAATGCTTCTTTCCCCGAATGAATTATTTAAAAATTCCAGTAAAATAAGTGCTTTTGTATTGGTTAAAAAACTAAATGAACTTCCAAGGGAGATAAAAGGGGTAGTAAAATAGGACTCTGGATTTTTTTTATACCTTAGAGGACCCATTGACTCCGGGAGGCGATAGGGGAGAAGGATATGGATGTGTCTGTTCTGTCTGTGGTGTGTGACTGCACTTCTGATGAGTGGATGCCAGGAAGGCCTGTATTGAGGACCTGACAACCCTGAAGTAATTATCATTAAACTGCTTAGCGTGTCATGTGGACGATCAACTATTGACCTTAGGGAAGGAGTCAGATTTAGGAAGTCATCTGAAAATCAAAATCATATATTTGAAATATCTTCCATGCATGATTTAGGAGGATTTAGTTTAGTTAATGCAGAAGAATTTGTTCCCAGAAGGTTGGTTACAAATCCATGGATTCATGAGTCTCCCCTTCCACCTCAGCTATAAGACCTTCATAGGCTACTGTGACTCTCAGTGTCATTCAGTGACATTCACATTGGTTCTTGATGCCTTTCATAGTTACAGCAAATACATAGACAACTGGAGAATCTGCTTGTGCAGAGCATCAAGGTCAGTCAAGGGTGTGAGCTTTGAGTCTTTCCCAAACATTTGCACAGTCCTGGATGCATGTGGTTGTATAGATTCCTAGGGCTATGTCTGGGCTTTTCAGAGTCTTGATGGACATTTCATTTCCTAGCCCTTCTTCCAAAGTTTTTTTTTTTGTTGGTGCATTACTTGTCCCCACAGACCTTTATTACTATAGGCAGAAGTGACAAAAGTTTGCCTATAGATTTAAAAAAAAAAAAGGATGTATTTATTTATTCATACAGAACTGGGGTACAAGCCAGAGTTGCAGGGGCCGTGAGAATTCACCAGAGACAGAGTGGGGAGCAGATCAGGCAGATCAACGAAGCACACTGCTGAGGGGAGCAGCGCCATGTGGTCACTCTGGGGAGGGGATCCAACTCACACTGAAGCAGCTGCAGTCAGCTTTCAGTGCTTCGTCCTAACCTGTTGCACCACCAGGGAGGCCCTGCCTATAGATTTTTAAAGAAATGTTTCCCAGGTAGCAGCTTTAGCACTGGGTAGATTCCTACTAAGGTGAAATAAAATACAAGGTTTTTGAACCAATCAGAGAGGTCAAACAATTCACTATGAATGATGTCTGTTCTATTTTCTTCAGTAGCAGGAATGTGGGCTACGCTGGGCTAGGGAGTTGGGAACTGGACTAGGGTAAGGTAATAAGTCACAAAGTTGACTGCTCATACTGTGGCCGAATCATTTTTCTTTTCTAAGTGTTCCCTGGGTTGCTACAAACCTTGGGTTATTTTCCAGAGTTTTGAGAAAGTTGATTCTGACAATTTTTTTTTTTTGCCAGTATTTCATTTCTTAAATGGAAGGGCAGATTTTGGGAATTGCTTCTGCCACCATTTCACTGACACCACTTTCTCTCTTTCTTTCTTTCTTTTTTTTTTAATGATGAAAGAACAAAGAAGGAGACAAATGACTTATAGGGATAAGCCTGAAAGGGGACTGTTGTGCCAGGATTATAATAACCACTGTTATTCCAGATACTGATTGTTTTAAAATACCTCAATTTATTTAATCCTGATATCAGTCCTATGAGGCACAAGTCATTATCCCTTTACATAGAAAACTGAAGACCAAGAGATGGAGTTACTGGCTCAAGTTTCCAAAGCCAGTAAGTGGTAGGATCAGGTTTTGATCTTAAATTTCTAATCCCAAAGCCCGTGTGCTTACTGACTAGGCTATAATGGTAAAGTTTAAACTACTAAATGTTGTAGGAATCAATGAGAAGTGCACTGCTCAGCAAGCTCAAAAAGAGGTATAGCAAGAGGCAAGCCATCCTGACAAGATGTTTCTCCTCATACTACTATACATTTAGGACACCAGTAAGATATTGGAGCGCCATCTAGGGGAATAACTTTATTGGACTTTCTTTTTTTTATTTTATTTAAAATTTTTTTAAAAAAGATTTATTTATTTGTGCATACAGAACTGGGGTACAGGCTAGAGGCTCAGGGGCGGCGAGAGGCTTCACCAGAGACAGAGTGGGGAGCAGAACAGGCAGATCTACGAAGTACACTGCTGAGGGGAGCAGCGGGCGGGCCAGGAGAGGTCTGCCACGCCATGTGGTCACCTCCGGTACAGGTGGGAATTGAACTCATACGGAAGTGGCTTTAGCTTCTCAGTACTGTGCTTTAACCTGCTGCGCCACCAGGGAGGGCCTATTGGACTTTCTTATACTTGATACCATAGATTGATCTATGTTCTCTCTCTCTCTCTCTCTCTCTCTCTATCTCATGAAACCATGTTGATCTCTTTGCTCTCATCTGAGTGTGCTAAGCATGCTCTGTGTTTCAAGATCTGTTATTTTTGTTTTGTTAGTGGTTGGAAACTTGAAAAGTCTTAACTGGCCCTGAAATATGACCAGGTTAAAGTCAAGTGGCATGGGCTGGGTGTATTCTTTTCACATGCTATAGCAATGATCATACTGAGACATGAGAATATGCTTACCTTTTCCACAAATATTTTGGAGGGACTGCTATGGGCTAGGCTTGGTGAATGGTGCTAGGCTTGCAAAGGTAAATAAGGCCCGGGTTTTGCCTAAGGTAATGATAGATTCCTGAAGTTTCTGTTTGTGTGTGTGAAGGGGTGGTGGTGGAAGTAAGGGGTGCATTAATGAAGAAGGTAGCATGTGAACTAGGACATGCATGGATTTGGATGTATGTAGGTGTCAGGGGCTAGTGAACTTGCTTTGCATATAAGATCTAACAAACTGGGAGCATTAACTTCAACTTTTTAGTATCATTAACAGAAATGGAAACAATTGCACTTCTCAGAATTGAATACTCCACCCGTTAACAGAGTCCAACTTGTAGGGAGGACTATGTTGGAGGCATCTGTCTAAGTCTTCTCCTGGTCCCCTCTCTTTTTCTCCTGGTCACCACAAAAGGGAACTCATGAATCTCAGTCTTCAGTACAGCAACCTTTCAGGATGTTTCACAAAAAGAATGAAAACCATCACTTAAGAGCCCAAAGAAACTGCTCAAATCCCAACCACGTCACATAAAGATGATGATTTCTCCCAGCTATATTTTCTTTCTCTTTATAATACTTCTGGAAAGAGAATCAAACCATCAAATGATTCTCAGGATGACTTTTGTAGAAGTAAATAAACAGGAATCACATTGTAAGGATAAAACATGATCTACATATCAGCCCTCCCCCCCCCCCCCAAAAAAAAAAAAAAATTCTGTGACATAACTTTGGGTTTTGCTTTTTTCTGGCATTGTGACTAAATTGCAGGAAACTGCAGAATGGGCGGAGAACACAGCCCAGGGGAGAGGGTTACCGGTTTACTTCTACTTCAGCATGATCATGACCACTACCTCCAGCCAGACATAGAACACTGAAACCACAAGCCAACCCCAGCAACTTACCAGAAGGCGGTACTGCCTGTTGCTCTGTTTTCCTTCCAGGGAGGTGCTCCACGTGGCCCTTCTCTTTCTCCGGGTCATCAGTGCCTGTGCAGATGGCAAGATCCGCATTTACAATTTCCTAAATGGGAACTGTCTGAAGGTGATGAAAGTCAACGGCAGAGGTGATCCTGTGCTGTCCTTCTTTATTGAGGGCAACAGGTGGGTGGTAGGTGTGGAGGTCAGAGCCATGAGCAATTCTGTTTGGGTAGAATATTTTTGTGCCTGGAACACCAGTCCTGGAATTACTGGCAGTAGCAGATAGCGGACAGGGTTCTCCTCTAATTTTGGCTACTATAAGCTAGTTCCCCCTTATAGGAGACTGGTAGGGTTTTGCATAAAACTTAGCAGTTGGGGTCACATTAATCTTAATTTGTTCTGGATTCCTGGACAAATCATAGTACATGTAATAGACTCTCATGCAAGGACCATCACTGTGCAAATGTGTGGCCCTGCTTGCTCCTGGATCACACATTCAGTTCCAATCTGAATCATAGACAAATCTCTGAAGCAGAGGCTTACAGGAGGTGGGGCGTGGCAGTGGGTGGGGGGAGATCCTATGTCCAGGACAGGGTAGAGCTGGGCATGTAAGTTTATAGAAACCTGAACCATAGGGTTATGTTTGTAGTATGTTAGGTTCAGGGTGGTATTATATGAAAAATACCTCAATAGAATAATTTTTAAATTCTAGCACAGGCTTACTTGAGCTATCAGTTAATCTCTCTGAACTATATATATATATATATATATATATATATATATATGTTTATATTTATTTTTTTATTAAGTAAAAATTGCTTTCTTTTTATTGCAACCTTACTGATTTTATTTATGTTATTTGAGGAAGTCTGGTAGTTAAGCAAAATAAATGAACACTTTTAAGTTATGAAATACTCATCCATCCCTCTCCTGCCCCATACGTACAAAACAACCAAATAACCCTCTATCCTTTTTTTCTTCCAAAGAGAGAGAATTTCCTTTTGGCTTGATTAAAAATAAATCTGAAGGAGATTTCTTACTGGAATGACTCCTCAAATTCCATTTCAGCATTTTCTATCACTCTTATAGAAAGTTTACACTAATGGTTGTGGCCTTCAATTGCAGACTTTTGAAGCAGGAATGAACCTACAGTAGTATTTCCATTTCTTGTTTCTGGTTACAGGAGATCTACCAATAGGCACAGAGGCAAGAAAGTAGCCTGCAGCCTAAGCATTGTGAACCAAGAGACCCAAGGGTGGGAGTGGGGACAGTGCTGGGGTGGGCCCAGGTTTGGAACTCTTTCTACAAGGGCATTAAAGTAGGGGATAAGGAAGACAGAAACCATGCTGTCTTACGAAGCACACATGTTCAGTCTAAATAGCATCTGCCTTGGAGTGATGGGCAGGGCTGGAGGGACCTTGTGGACTGGAGGGAACTTGTGGGCTGGAAGCCCCTCCCACCCAGCCATGAGAATTTCCTCATCCCTACAGCAATAGAAACATGGTTTGGGGGATGCTGTCCTTGATAAAACAATGAATTTCGAGACATTCATATGCTGAGTACGTAAGCCTTCTCCTGGGCATGATAGGTAATTGGCATTCACTGGGAACAGAAATTCATTGACAGAGTAAAAAAATTTTTTTTAAAGATTTATTTATTTATGCATACAGAAGTGGGGTACAGGCCAGAGGTACAGGGGGTGAGAGGATTCACCAAAGACAGAGTGGGAGCAGAACAGGTTGACTGACGAAGTACACTGCAGAGCGGAGCAGTGTGCAGGTCAGGAGAGGTCTGCAGCGCCATGTGGGTCACCACCAGGGTTGGGATCAAACTGATGCTGAAATGGCTTTAGCTTCTTAGTGCTGTGCTTTAACTCACTGTGCCACCAGAAGGACCCTCACTGACAAATATTTTAACACGAAAAACAACGTAATCAGAATTTCTGTGTCCAGTTCACATTCATTTTTAAAGAAAACAGCTATAGCACCACACCCTCTTCTGTGTGGCCAGCTCCCATCTTTCATGGCTCTGGACTCCCAATAACCTGCACCGCTATGAGTGAGCCCTAATTTCCGGACACTGTTCCCTTGGCTTGAGGGTTGGGTGGAACAGTAATGGAAACACCTAATGGGGGCCTCCATGCTTCCTTAGTGGGTGATCTGTTTGGGTTCCAGGATGGTGATCAACACGGAGAGCAATATCCTCATGTTCCAGTTTGAGAATATAAAGTGGCAGTACTCTGCGGACCGGACCAAGCAAAAGAAGAAGGATAAAGAGGAGGACAGGGAAGAAAACAGCGTCATAGACATTCCTTCCAAAGCTAGTGTTCAGGCCCACAGTCTGAAGGACTCCATGTCTAGTAAACAAATGGTGACATTGGACTCCTTGCTGAGCAAATCTCACAAGTCTCACATTCTCCTGAGGACACTCAAGGTGCCTTCTGGTAAGAGCCGAGTCCCAGGCAGTCTCAGAGGCAGCTGTGGTGTGCTGGGCAGGGGCACTACGACTGTTTCTTTGTGGGATATTTTGGCCAGTGGCTTCTTGAGGATATGAATTCTAGCCTTAAGGAAGGTTCACCAATTTATTAGCCAACTCATGGACTCCCCTGATTTCCAAGGTCTAGGTCTTCAAGCTTATTAGAATTTTTAAGAGTAGAGACACTGGTTTTTTTTTTTTTTAATATATATATATTTTATTACAAAGTTTATTTTTACATCATTTTGTACATTTTTTTTTCCCATCACCATGTCACCCGTGTGCCATCACCATAATCCCATGTACTTCCCTCTCCCCCCCCCCGTTTTTGATCCCATTCCCCACTCCACCCCCGCAAGATGTCTCTGGTATATGGTTGTTCATTATTTTTGTTATTTTCTCGCCTGTTCCATTATACTCCTGCTTGAGTGAAACCATCCGGTATTTTTCTTTCTCTTTCTGGCTTATCTCACTAAGCATGATCTTTTCCAGCTCCATCCAAGTTGCTGCAAAAGACATGTGTTTCTCTTTTTTGGTTGCTGAGTAATATTCCATTGTATATATGTACCACATCTTTTTTATCCAGAGATGACACTAGGTTTTAATACTTGCCATTAAAACAAAATCAAACAACCAAGATTCTTCTTTCCCACCCTCAATCCAAATATATACTGCCTAATTATTTTCCCAGGGTGGATACAAGATATTATAATGAAGAAAAATATGTTGCAGGCAAAATGTATTATATCACGATGTCTTGTTGATAATGTGTATAGCTGGAAAATAATAGTTATTAAGCAGATGTGTGTGTGTATAAGTTGGAAGGGGGCATTAGTATAGCTCATGCCATTTATAAGACATACAAGAATAAGTTATATGTGGGCTAAAATAGCCAGACTCCTCCCTTTTAACTGCCCTATATTTGGTGAGTGCAATTGACCCATAGATCCTTAGAGGACATAATGTACCACTTCCAAGTATTGTACACTACAAATAGCTACTTCTCGAGGAGAGAGAATTGAGAGTTTTAGATCACATTTAAAGCTTGATAATCATTATACAAACTGGCTGGGAGTGGGTTAGGAGATGATCTAGACCTTAGGTTTCAAGTGATGACCTAGTTTCATACAGCAACAAACAGTAGGGTGATAGTTTGCATGAAAGTCTGTTGAATTATCAGCTATACCCCATTATTCACACCTAATGAATTATGTAATCACAATAGTTTCTTCCTCAATTTTAATTGAATAGCATTAATAGAGGAACCTCAAAGTCAAGTAAAGTCAAAATCATCCAGAAGAGACAAGAAGATTCCTGTTTCTAAGGAAGCAATTGTCATGGATGGTGGGCAAGAGAACTTGGAAGCAAAATTCTTCACAGGAGGTAAGATGAATGGTGATACTGTGTTCTGAATTTGTGGCAAAATAGATTCTCCCCCTCCCTTTACCACCCCACTATCCCTTATCTTTAGTTTTTCAGGAGGTCAATAATTTTGCTTATTTGAGAATTCAGAATGGATAAAATATCCAGCTTTGCCTAAGACGGGTGCGTTTTCCTTAACTGTCCTCTTACCCTTATTAGAGCTGAGTTTCCAGTTCTGCTGCCCTTTCCTGCTTACTCAGTCCCTCATTATTTAGACTGTTGTATAAGCAATCTGAGTATTGGGCACAGGTGAGGGAAGAGGCAGTCAGGGCTGGTTTCAGAGAGTGTTTCGGGGGATTTCATGACAGATTTTGGGGATAGAGGTAATGCATGTGAGATAAGGCAGTGAGGGAGAGATGGGAAAGAGGATTTTAAAGAGAATTGCTGGACATCAGGAATAGGATGTCTCCTGTTCTGAGAGACTTTGGTAAGATTTAAAATGCCTTTAAACTATTTAAAAATATTTTTCTAATATAACAATATCTTTGAATTGAATTCCCTGCAGAGTCTAGCTTCCAGGTGAGACTTAATGAATTAAGTCTAGGGTGGGTATACTAACAATGGCAGCCTTGTGTATATCTACTGTCCTATTGTCTATCTACCTGAATAGGTTGGTATACCTGCAGGGTAAAGTCCTAGGAGGGACATTGCTGCCCCCAAAGAAAATTACACTAAAAACTAGAACATTATTGCCAGGACTGTCCTTAAAACCGACTGTGTAATTTTATATTCCCTTTAAAAACGAGTGAGAGCTCCCACTGCAGCTAGGCCAACATCGGAGGTCAGCCTCATTCTGTGCTTGCTTGTGTGATAAATAAAAATGCATTTCTTCTTTTTTTAAAAGATTATTTAGGTATACAGTACTGGGGTACAGGCCAGAGGTACAAGGGCGATGAGAAGATTCACCAGAGACAGAGCAGGGAGCAGAACAGGCAGACTGACAAAGTACACTGCCGAGGGGTCACCTCAGGGCGGGGATCGAACTCCAACCAAGGTGGCCTTGGCTAGCTTCGCAGTGCTGCGCTTTAGCCCACTGTGCCACCAGGGAGGGCCCAATGATACAGTTCTTTTAAAGTTGATCATCAATAAACTAAATGTCTATCATTGGGCAATGATGAAGGAGAGATGAAAACACCATACCATGAAATATGACTTGGGAAGAGATTTGCAATATATGATTATATGAAAAAAGACCAGTTAATGAATTATGAGGTCATCACAATTCTACCTTAAAAAAGGAGAAAACCGGCTCTCCCTGGTGGTGCAGCGGGTTAAAGCACAGCACTGAGAATCTAAAGCCACTTGCACATGAGTTCGATTCCCGCCTGCCCTGGAGGTGAACACATGGCGCGGCAGACCTCTCCTGACCCGCCCGCTGCTCCCCTCAGCAGTGTACTTCGTCGATCTGCCTGTTCTGCTCCCCACTCTGTCACTGGTGAAGCCTCTCACCGCCCCTGAGCCTCTGGCCTGTACCCCAATTCTGTATGCACAAATAAATACATCTTAAAAAAAAAAAGTTAGAAAAAAGGAGAAAACCTATGTGGTTTGTCATACGCACACTGATATAGGCACAATGGTTTATTCTGAAGGAGGAGTAGAAGGAGAGTAGGGAAAAGTTTGACATTTGAATTTCATTTAGTTTTAGAAAAATATTATATAATGAATAGAGGTAAGGGAGAAATCTTCATTTTATTGAGGTAAATATTATTATGTTTGTTTAGAGATTATAGGTTCAAACCTCTACAAATGTATGCTCTCACACCATACCCACATTCAAAGTCCCAGTAACCCCTTCCCACACTCTGTTGAGCTCGCCTTCATTCATACTCCCACCTTCCCTACCTCCCCTCCAGGTTGCTTCAGTTTTTCAGTCAGATGTCAAGTGGTTTTGTACACCCCTTTGCTTTGTTTTTCCATATTCCATATGACTGAAATAATTTGGTATTTGTTTTTCTCCTTTTGACTTATTTTGCTTAGCATTATCCCCTTTAGCTCCACCCATGTAGCTGCAACTGGCAAGAGTTCATCTTTCTTATAGCATAGTAGTATCCCATCTATATATACACCATATACACACACCATATTTCTCTGACCCACTCTTCTGTCTTTGGATTCTTAGGTTGCTTTATAACTTGGCCATTGTACATAGGCTGCAATGAAGCTATAAGTGCATATATCTCAGGGAAAATTTGAAGTTTCATTCCATCCTAGTGTATCTATATACACATATTTGGTCAGGCCTGCTAACATATAAGTGCTCTCACTGCTGGTTATAGATTGGTGTAGTTTGGGTACAGACTTTTTTTTTAGAAAAAAGTATAGAGAACTGAGGTACATATCAGAGGTGCAGGTGTGGTGAGAGGATTCACCAGAGACAGAGTGGGAAGCAGAACAGGCCGACTGAAAAAGTATACTGCTGAGGGGAGCAGCGGATGGATCAGGAGAGGTCTGCTGTGCCATGTGGATCACCTCCAGGGCGAGGGTTGAACTCATGCTGAAGTAGCCTTAGCTTCTTAGTGCTGTGCTTCAATCCACTGTGCCACCAGGGAGGGTCCTGGGCACATACTTTCACTTGTTAGGCCACACTGGATAAATCACTTCTATTTTTCATTACTCAGTTAGGCTTTTATAATGCGTATTTATGAGGCATAGGGATTGAAAAAAACCAAATGAGAGCTACACAATATAGAGATTTTCTCACCTCTGAAAACATCCTTGTTACCTTAAGGATCTTGTATGTTGGAATGTGATCCCTTCCAGTTATAGTTTACTACAATGCATTGTAATATAATGAAGCTCTTTTGTATCTGCTGCTATTGCTCAAAATATTTTTGGGAACCCTTGTTCAGGAATTGCCTTTTGGTCATGTGTTATTTTGCATTTTCCAATGGTGACATTTTTTGAAGGTAGGTTTGATTCTGGGAAACATCCAAAGATCATTTGAAGTCCAACTTGATGAATAAAGTTGAAATCAAACTTTGTGATAGACTTTGTATTGAAAATATGGGTATGTCACTATAGATTTTATAAGGCTTATGTTGTTTGTAAATGAGATGTGAAGGCCTTCTCCACAGGGAAGTCTCAAAAGTATTAGAGCATTGCAGTTACATACATTCCCTCCAAAATATGCTTATCTAGATATTTATATACATTTGCACTTAAGTACTAGCCTATCTGTTAGAAACATGTATTGATTATGTCATAGTTACTGGCATTGTAAAGGATTTTTGCCCAGGATGGTGGCATGCCTCCAGGATAGTGGCATGCAGGCATTTAGGTTGGACTTAATTTTTAATGCATAAGTACTTAAAAATTTTCAGGAGCATTTATTTATTTATTTATTTATTTTAAAAAACAGCTGATATGGAGAAACAAAAACAACTGAACATTCCAGTCAAGAAAAAGTCCTGGCAAGTCCCTATGTCTCCTGATCGATTCCTCCTCACTGTTAATGCCTTGCAGCTAGCCCACAATTCAGGGAAGTTTGCCTATCCCCACAGGCCCCAAACCCAAGTCATTGATGCCTGGGGACCTTCAATTTCACATCCAAGGAAGGTCCTGAGTGTGAAGGGAAAATCAGTCCAACATGAAGTTGACAGGTTAAGAATCAGCAACCCTCCCATAGATGTGAAACAAACCAATACACCCCTTGAAATCCAGAAACTGCAGCCCAACTTGAAGAACTCTTTGCAGAGTCCCCAAGTCCAGTCCACCATACCCCAGCCGGTGATTATCCGTTCCAGGTTCTCTGGTAATTTAAAGTGTGAAGATGGGGCAACAAGTTCAGTCAACAGGACAGTGCGCAGCTTCCACCCCTTAACCAGTATGCAGGTCATTAAAACAAACCGAATGCTGGCTCCACCAGTGGGCACAACAGTCCAGTCTGTCAAGAAGGAATGGCCTCGCAACTGTGTGACCCTTAACCCCTTCCGAATGAACACCGAGTTCATGTTGTTGACTGTGAAGGAGGAGGCTGAACACAGGGAAGCTAAGATGAAGAAATATCAGGCTGCGAAGCCCACTGAAGTGATCAGTCCAGAAAAAGCCAGTAGAGCTGCATGGATCAGGAAAATCAAAGGCCTGTCTATAGATAATTTTATGAAGCAAGGGAAAATCGCAGCTCCTGAACTTGGACAAAACATATTTATCTGAACCATCCTTGGGAAATCACAATGTATTACAATAAACAGAATACCAAGTGGATGTTGGCTTTTGGCTTCTGTTTTGGTTTGTTATCTTGACTGTCTCCTGACAGTTAATGAGGGACCTCCTACTTAATTTCCTATAAGCCAAAGAGTTGATGTCATCAAAGAAAACAGAGGGAGGCTGGCAGAAGTTGGCAAAAGTATTCCCACGGAAAACCATTCAGTGAGACTTATGGAAGCTCAATTTCATTGATGGGGAATGGGGAGCTGATCACTGGAAATAAAATATTACTCAATCCTATCAACTTACTGTGATCATTCTAGTAACGGGGTTAAATGAGTAACGGGGTTATATTAAAATAATGCATTGGTGTTCTCTGGCCTTTTGGAAAGGACATCTAGTAAAGCTAGGTGATTTCAGATAAGAATCTAGAAGGAGAAGCCCTCAATGGGGTTGGCTATTGCCTTTGAGAAATGTTGTTTTCTTTGTAGGTTTAACTGCCATGGAGGAACATTAAGCACATTATCATTTTACAAAAAGAGGGATACTAATATCTTTCCAAGTATGTGTGGTTTCTAATTAAATCTTATGAGGATTAATGTCAGGGACCCGGCATGTTATTAAAAAGCATGTAGCCACCATAAGAGCCATGGTCCACTGGGAAACTCAGTTCCCATCCAGAGAGACAGATCCTATTCATTAGTTCAGCATGGCCATAGGATGGTATGAGATAATAGAAAAAAATATATATCTGCATCCTGTTCCTGCCACAGAGCTCCTGAAATCTCTAGGATCATTTCCTAGGTGACAAGATGACTGGGAGTGTTTCTTTTTTCTATTCAAAAAAAAAATTATTATTTTACCATTAAATATATTTGACCTTCATAGACCATTATGCCTCTCACCCTCCCTCCCTGTCTCAGTTCTGTAATCAGCTATCAAGAGTTGGTTTTTCAGCATGTTTATCTGACTATTAATTTGCTTTGTATTCTACATATTAGTGACACTACCTGGTACTTATCTCCTTCTGACTTAATTTGATTAGCGTTATCTGCTCAAGCTCCATTCATGTGGCTGCAAATGGCATGAGTTTATCTTTTCTATCACTGGTATCTCTTGTTCTAATATTTGTCTTTGATCCAGTTCCTGACTCATGGTTCCCGAAACCCTTGTAAAATCTTGAGCACCTTTTGTTCTAATGATGTGACTTTGATTGGGCTCCTGGGTGGAGTTGGGTATCAGAAAGACCACATCATGATTAGCAGCTTGGAATTTTCAGAGCCCCTTTCCTTCCATTCTCTGGAGACATATAGAGGAAAGGACAGAAATGGAATTAATAATTGATGTGTCTCCACATCAAAATCCTGATAGTAAGGGGTTTGGAGAGCTTCCAGGAATGTGAACACTTCCACTCTAAGAGGGTGATATGCCCAACTCCATGGGACAGAAGTTCCTGTGCTTGGGACCCTGCCAGACCTTATGTTCCTTTCCATATAGCTGTTCCATCTGGATCCTTATTATAGCCTTAAGAAACGTAAACATAAGCATTTCCCTGGATTTTGTGAGCTGTTATAAAAAATAAATTGAACTTAAGGAGGGGTTGTGGAACCATCTGTAGCAGTTGGTGTCTGATCTACAGTTGGTCTGAAGCACAGGTGATAACCTGATCTTGTGACTGGTACTTGGAAGAGAAGGCAACTAGTGAGAGGTCCCTAACCTGTAGGTCTGAAGCTACCTCTGGGTCTGAGAAATAGATTAAGTTGTAACTCTGGCTGGTGTTGCAGAGACTTGCATGATGTGGGGGAAAACCTCCCACCTATTAGGTGACTAGAAGTGAAGTGCTTTACCTGCATAATAAAGGAGAGCCACATAGCAGAGAGCCACAATAGGGAAGAACTGGACTTTCACTACATAGGAGATAGACTGAACTGAGATTTTCCTAAGTGGTGGTATTGAATTCAAATAGAATGGAAAACATAAACAACAAAATCCCCCAACCTTACAAAACCTGCAGTCCACATTCTAGATTGACCCATTCAAAACCCACCCCGCCTCCCCCGCCAAAACAGGACATGGGCAGGTTTGATAAATAAGCCACTTGCTCAAAGTCTTCACTTTTCACTTCAAGGGCAGGATTGCAAGTGTTTGTCAACTTTTACCTCCATAGATCATTTTTGATTTTAGAATCTTAGGTTTGAAGAAACATTGGCAAATAGTCATGTAGAAATACATGCTGACATGATTCCTGGAAGTGCACCATGTTGCATGTAATTTTAATGGAAAGAATCCCCTCAATTAGACGGGGGCGGTTTCACAGAGGCTGGATATTGTTATAATCCGTTTCAAACATGACTTAAAGTCTTTGACTTTCAGGTCCTTCATTCCACAACACCACATATTAGCGGCTAATCGCAAAACAATAATGTGTTTACTAGGTAATTACCCTGTAGGGTAGCATTTCCCACTCACGCTTGAGAAAAGAAAAGGAGGTCAGAAAGGTAATTGGTAAGAGGAGGATCCTGGACTCAAACCCAGGTGTTCAAATTCCAGGACCCACGTTTTCAACTTGTCTATTCCGGTTTTTTAAAAAATACATTATAGAAGGACAGGCTTACTAGGAAAAGGAGAAAGGAAAAGGAGCACCCGCATAGTCAGTCACAGGTGGCGGGAGAGCAGCTCCTGGTGTTTTCCACTTATATTACTCTCCATACTCTAGAGTCTTTCTGCCATGTTCTTCACAACTTTTTCTCTCTTTGCAGGAAAACATTTATTTTCCAACTGCTTTTGTACAGTAATACAGTACAGAAATATATACAAAACATTCAGACAAAATGAAACTATGGAGTGATAAAGCCCCCTTCCCCAGCCTTTCACCTTTAGGGCTGGTGGAAACGATCCCGCTTAGGTAGCAACGACATCTCCCCGTGTCCGGCCACTGAGTTCCCACCCAGAAGCCCACCGCCACACTCGGCTGCTTGCTAGCGGCTTTTGTCTCCAGCAGACCAGGACCCGCACCGCGTCTCGCCCCGCCCCCGATCTCGCCCCGCCCCCGTCCTAGGCAGCTCTAGCCCCGCCCCACCATCCAGTCCCACAAGCGCTCCTCCCTCAAGGTGCGTAAGCGGAAGTGGGAACTGGCTCGGGTTGGTTCCTTGATTCCCCTGGCCGGTGGTGATCTGGCTGTCTCAGTTCTAGTCCCCGCCCGGCGGCCCGCTGACGTGGCTCCCGGAAGTGGGGCTGGCGCTGGGACGCCATGTTGCAGCAGGTGAGGGGCTATGGCTGCGGGAGGCGGGTGGTGGCGGCCGAGGCCGGGCCTGCCGGGTCCGAGGGGTGCGAGCCGAGCGTCCTCTGGGCGTTGTGTCGGTTCTCCAAACCCAGCCTGCTGTCTGAGCCCCAGCGGGCGGAGGACCAGGGAGCGCAGCTGGGGATCCCAGGCCTCTGCTGGCGGGGCACCCAGGCGGCGCTTAGGAAGGACAGCTTGCTTTGAGGTGTGGAGAAGCGCTTTATTGAGAAATGACGCGATCTGGCTCGCCCCCTCTTGCCACCGGGGCTGCAGAAATCCTCACTTGTGGCGTGGGGTGGTCTCGAATAAAGACACCACTATTCTTGGACAGCGACGGGAAGGAGGAACATCCTGACTCTTAGGGGTACAGCAACTCTGTAGTGAGACACCGCCAGGATCTTGCCTTTAAGATTTTCATGCCAAATAAACGTTGGTGATGGTCCGTCCACTTACCCGAATCATATCATGCCCTTAGAGTTTCAGGTTAATTTACTGCCCACAGGTTTAAGATTAGCAAAGGTTATTCTCTTCCTATTCAAGTTTTTAAATTGAAAAGCAGTGTTTGTAGTGCCTTTTCACTTAGACTATCATAGATATTTTTTCTTATTGAGGAATTACCGTGACTCAGGCAGTGATCTGGGCCCCAGAACGGCTGTGACCCGTACAGGTAGTTTCTTGGCCTTGAATTGCAGGGTGAGTTGGAGGGCACTAGCGCTTGTCAAGGGATTAGGCGTGGAGACATGTTACGGGACTAAAGATATTTTCATGTAATAGCAACACAGGGTGGTGTAATATCAAGTGTTGAGAATATGACCACCGTAGGATTTATGATCACAAAGATCACTTTGAGGAGGTGACTTGATGGAGAAAATCCAATGATTGTTAAATTTGGCTTTAGAAGCTGCAGCCTGGCGAAGAAAATCAGCTGTGTTGACTATACCCACTGTGGATTTGTGATCATGAACTTAAAGTGAACGCTTAATGCTGCCAGACAGTCATCGCTGCATTTCCATCATCCCCTCACTCTCCCATCATCTAAAAATTCTCCCTTTTCAAACCTTCAAGCATGTCTTCCTTATTCTCTTATTTGGAAGATAGTCTTGCTTTTTGTTTTCGCTGGAAAGTGGAAGCCCTCAGAGTTTTCACACCTGTGCTTTCTGCATCTTTGCTCACACCTCTCTTATCATTTGCTTTTCTCTCAGTTGAACTGTTTGGGTTCTGTTATCATAAAAGTCCCCTCTACTTGTTCATCTCCTCTTGCCTGCTAGAAGGTTTTGGTTAGCAATTCTCACTTTTCTTGCATTCAGTTTTTCCCATTTATAAGCTGTCCACAGCAGTATATAAGCATTCTTTAATTTCTCATCTTAAAAATAAAAACTCCATTGCACCTGCCCTTTCTGCTACCACCTCATTCTTTGCCTTTAAAAGATATGTCTACAATTAATTTCTTAATTCTTTCTTCTATTCATTCTAGCCAGATTTCCCCCCTCTTCCCGCTGCCATGCTGAAGCTGCTATGTTTATGTCATTGATCAGGTGTTAGAAATATTGGTCATTTTTCAGTGACCAGCATTTTGCACAGTTGACCACATCCTCTTCCTGCATAGTCTTTCTTTGGTTCTCTGGACACTACCCTCCCCTGGTTCAGCTGTTTTTTTCTTTTTCTAGTCCCCATGGCTCATTCCTTTTTACTTTTCTGATCTCTAAATACTAGTCTCCAGGTTCTGCCTTTG